GACAGCAAAAATTGAATCACATAGTTTTCTTGCACTGATATATGCTGTTATATTCTTGTCGAGATGCAAACTAAGCATGACTCCTACTCAATCAATGCACACACTAATTGAAATAAACCTCCTTTAAGATGAGCGAGTGGTTCCACTTTTGAGTTTTTAAAGGGAAGCAGACCACACTTCGAGGGATCAGGGTGCAGCAGCGAGTTACAAACGGGATACTGGACGTCATAGTAAAGCACTGTAGTGAGTGGCTGACCGCAGTGCCTTCTGCAGAGGTACACACTCATTTTTCAATACTGCAACATGAACATATCATCTGGTCGGGTGTGTTGAAGAAGCAGCGAGACATGAAGCGGAGAGGCTGAGAGGAGGCTTTCTGAAGGACCGTACCGCTGTTTCTGCAAGTTCAGTTTGTTTACTACAAACCTTAGTTTCATGGTTGTTGCGCAGCGATGCAACAACAAGCATGAATTAGTTTCACATAAATCAAAAATTCTGGGGGGAAATTAAAGCTCCAACATCTAATTTTAGAGAGCTGGTGGTTGCACAGTTTTGCACTGATGAGCTTTTGGCAGAAATTTAAACCGGGACAAGCACAACTGTACACAACGAAAAGGACGTCAGGAAAGAAAAACATAGCTGCAAATGTATCGGTGTTGTCATTTGAACCCATAAAAATAAATATTACTGACTGAACTAAACCCAAGCAGGATGAGCTGGTCCCTGCGAGCTGACTTTCACACCATACCGACGTGAAACCGAAAGCAATAGCTGCCTGGAAGATATAAAAGCACATTCAATCCACTGATACTATGGCATGGTTCGCTATTGCAGGTAAAGACTTTGAAGTAAGCGGGTAAAATCACGCAAAAACACAGATATGGTTGTTTTGGATCAGATGGGAGGCTCAGGTGTGGTATCTACTGTAAATACAGCAGCTACCTGATGAATTATTCTGAGCTGTAAGGACCTAATTACTGAAACCGGACTCCTTTCGAGGGTGAATCCGGTGACCTCAATCTTCGTTGCACCTTGTCAAGCAAAGTAAATCCCATCAGCTGTTTGCTCTCTGACCCACTTGTATTCCCCCCTTCAGCAGGCACCGGAACCCAGAAAGCTAATACTGTGGTTTGTTTTACTGCTGCATCATTAATGCAGAGAGTTCCTCCCTGCAGGTAAGCAGATCTCCTGTGATGCTCTCAAAGTGTTCAGATACCGGCCTCTCGGGGGCGGTGGAGATCCTCCGGAGCTGCGTCGTCAGGTCAGGAATCAGGGCACCGTGGTATCGTGACAGACGTGAACACACATCCGAAGGCCTCCGGTGGGTCGGAGTTATTAATAGATTGAAGCAGCAGGTGCTGTCACTGTGTCTACTGCGCACAGCCAATTATGAAGCTCTGCAGGTGTTTCCCACCAAACCAACAACCAAAACCGACTCCGATACGAGCCTCTTCTCCATCTCCCATCCTTCACCCTTTGCTCTCTCCCTCCATTATATGTTTTCTACTTTTAGAAGAGCCCTCAGTCTTTCCAAGCGCTCGCATGGAAAATGTTATTAGGTCATCTTCCACCTGTGGCAGTGCATCAGCTCAGTCTCTCCTCACCTGGAGCCTCCGGCAGAGCAGCAGCAACAGGAGAGTGGAGGGAATTTATGAAAGAGGTTATTACCAAAGGAAAGGATGGTTCAGAGAATACAGCAGCACTTCAGCAGAGTGGCTGAATATGTGAGCAAACGCCGAGTCTCTCAGTAACGATGCCACCAGCTGGGTCGGTCGGCTGGAGAGCTGTTACGACATTCAGCCTCGTGTGTCACATGTTGTCAGCCCGTTAAATAACCGCCATCATCGCACACAGCTTTAAGGAACCTCCTTCACCTCCTGGTAGTCTCTTCATCACCACATTTAATGGTGAAGAAGCAGCAATACACAATAAAGAGGAACAAAAGTCCTCATTTGGAGGTTGGATGGGTTGGTGGAGGTGTAGGTCTGTCAGTTTAGTGTTGGACCATATCTAAAGGATTTCCCCCCCTCACTTAAGTCTCATTTTGACTTTCCTTTTCACAAACTGTTTTTCACTCAGTGTTTACTTTTATGTTTGAGTTGTAGCAGTAAAACTACTTGGTTACGTTTATGTACCAAAGCTATAGTACTCAAATGAGTATTGGAACAAAAACCACTTGGTTAAGTTTCTGCAGCAAAAGCACTTGGTTAAGTTTAGGTACCAAATAATTTGGTTAAGTTTTAGTCCCAAAAACACTTTCAAAGGTTTAGGCACCAAAACTTCTTGGTCAAACTTGGCACCAAGACTTATTTATTAAGTTCAGGAAACAAAACTATTTAGTTAGACTTCACCAAAACTTCTTGGTGAAGTTTACGTACCAAAACTTTATGGTTAAGTTTAGGCACCAAAACCATTTGGATACATTTTGCACCAAAACTACCAGGTACCAAAACTAGTTGGTAAAGTTTAGGTACTGAATTTACTTGGTTAATTTTAAATATCAAAACATCTCAGTTAAGTTCAGAAAATGATCATGGCTGTTGTTATGTTTGTCACATCTTACAAAACTCAGTTTTTTTAACATTTCCGGAGATCTTACATGCAGTTATTTACACAACCACAAGAGGCCGCCAACATTCTAGCGTTACTTTTTGTTTATGAAAGATTGGAATCAACAACAACCTGCCTACTGAGCTACTAGAAGGTGGAGGAGGTTCCCACTGGCTCGTATGAATGAAAATGATCTGCGATGAAAAATCCAAATCGGTTTCTTGTGTCGCTGTGGTTCCACCTACCTGCCTCATTCATAGGGAAGAATAAACATTCAAAATGTCTTTAATTCAAAAGCTTCCTCGTGGTGCCTGCTAGCCTCACACCTGCTTCGTTTGACGGTCAGCTGCAGCCAATGGAGGTGGACATGAGATCAAATCAGCGGCACTAAATTACAAACTTTTTGGTCTTTTAAACATCATTCTTATCCAATGAAAACCATTTGTCTCAGTTAAGATTAAGAGAGCCTTGGTTCAAACGTGCCTCATGATGACTTGTTAGAAAAAGCTGCAGTTGTAAATTTCGTCCAGCAGAAGAACAGCGAGGAGGTATTTTCTAATCAGGTTAGTTTGGTCCTGTGCTGAGCTTCGCTTTTGTCGAGTTTGGTCAAAACACAGCATTTCAAGAATACAAAAAGCAGAGTTAAAAGAACAGGTGTTTCCCTGCGTTAAGAAGAAGCACACGTTTACACTCAAAGGCCGAGAAGAACGGCGTCACTGACAAGTGAACACAGCCGATGCTGCCTTCAAATGGAACTTGTGGAAAGTCGTGAACACCAAATGCTTCACACGTAGGTCATGTGAACAACACAGACGGTAGAAACAACCAAGGCTAACCATTTCGCAAGCTCACGAGCTGCTAGCGTAATATAGGAAATGTGAAGGCATGAAGAAAAGACCACAACGCCATAAGAAGGCAGCATATGAGCCATCATCAGTAACACCTGCCAGACGCCATTTTTGTAGTTTTCATACATGAGTTCTGGAGTTAATTCAATCGTTGAGTTATGCAGCCTCAATATTATTGCTACATCATCAATGCTGCAGGAATCTGCCCTTACTGCACACATGCTCAGACTCCATCACGCCTCATGTCGGGACAGTGACGAGGTCACACACAGCATACATGTAGCACTACAGTATCAACACACATCCACCAACTCTCCGATTACTGCGCCTCGTCTCTCGTGTTTCAGCCGTCCCCTCGCCGGACCGAGATTCAAAGATCATCGGTTGGGTATGACAAGAACCTGTGTGGGTGTAAAAACACTGCTTGCTTTTGCTAATTCAGCAGTCAGATGAGGAAATGTGCTCATAGCTTCAATGGAGGGTCTAGATTTGACCTGCAGTCCCTCTAAACTCCCAAACCTCATTAAACACTTCTGATATTTTAGACAAAGCAGACTTTTTCCATCTGTAACACATTTTGTTCAATGGCTTTGGAGAAATTTGACATCTGCTGCCATGCTTTTCAAGTTGGCAGACCAAAAACAGACCACTGAGGGGTGACTGCAGCCATTCAGGTGCTGAGATGGTTAATGTTGACATCAGTAGCCTCATTTCCATGATGTATTTTAACGTATCGCATTACAAAAGGGATGGAAAACGGCAAAATTTGGAAAAAGGTTTTGAATTTTGCAAAAACTGTTACTTGGCGTGGTTTTTGACTTTTGCCAAGAAGACTTAGTAAAGCTTCATGGGAGATGAAAATGGTTTATCTGAAATAGTCCATAACATCTAAGTCCCACGACTGATCTGCTGGTTCTTTCATTGACATTTCGTTGCACTCTGTGTATGATGACAACAAAAAGCATTCTATTCTATTGTATTCTATTCTGTTCTATGCAACCCATTAAACATGGCCGACACCAGTTTTCCAGTCAAAAACAGTTCCTTTTCACTGCTGAGTTTCGGCTGTTTATTCTTTTTCTGTGCTTTTTGTCAGGTGGAAAACTACTGGTTTGTTTCTAGCTTCTTCAACTCCTATAGAGCCCAAAGCGCCACCTTCTGACAACACTATGCAGCCGAGTTTATTTGCTGGAATCAGTGTGTAATTTTATTTCAAGTGCCCACAGGTGTTACCAACGTGAAAAAAAATAAATGCTGCCCTACATACTGTAGGTATGTTAGATATTCTCACTGTTATTTTATTAGATATTCCTTTTTTATTTCTAATTTGTTTTGAATTTGTAAACACAGTCTGCAGTTCAACCGAGGAGTCTGGTGAATGTTGGTCACATCTGAGTCAGTCATGGTTTCTCAGCTACGACAAGGAACTTTTGTGGGATCTGATGCAATTGATTTATTTTTTGTGAATTTTGAGAAAAAAAACCCAATTTAACCTTAGATTAAGTTAATCTTCCCAACTGAAGCCCATGTCACAGATGATTAGTTCAGGGATCGTTTAAAAGACGAAAATTTGGCAATTTTTTCTGTTTTTATGGTTTTTAACTTATGAATTGTGTTATTTGTTCACTTATGCAAAGATAAGTCAACAGATACCTAAAAATAAAAGCAGGATAAAACTTTTGTGAGTTTTAAAACAGGCTACTTGAAATAATAAGCTCCACCTGAGTGGTGTCCTCCAGCTCTTCCAGCACCTTTGCAGCGTTATAAACACACACAGGCGTCGCCATCCCGGGGGACGAGCTGAAACGCTGAGGCGGCGCTACATTCATCTCGACATTCCTCCGAAACCAAACCCCAGCAGGGCCGTAAACATCACAGCGGCCCCCTTGTCACAAAGGTGTCTTCGGTTCCCTCGCTAATGAGGGAAGAACCCGCTGAGTTACAGTGTCGAACCTCAGAAAATAAAGCAGGAGCCGTCAAAATTTCCCATGTGGAGCATCTCTCTCTTTGCATTCCCGCTGCAGACATTCATGAAGAGCCTCTGCAGGCCGGAGCTTCAGCGATAATTGATGAACTCACCGTAAGGCTTGAACAGATAGACTGCACTGCTGTGGTGCTGGCCAGTCTAGACACTGGCTGCACCGGATAAAGGGACAAACTCTGCCACCTCTTCATCTCCGCCATCCTCTCTAACTACTCCCTCTTCATCTTTGGCAGCGGTCTGGACCCGGCGGACGGCTGTCAGATGCGTCCGTTGCCGTGTGTGCTGCTTCGGCGGCCGGACAGAGGGTGGGAGGAGTAGTGCAGCTCGGCGGTGGAGAAGGTGGAGGATGAGGAGTTGGAGGAAGAGGAGGAGGAGGTGAGTCCACAGGCTTCGCAGGCCAGAGCCAGCTGCCTCAGGGCGTCCAGGGAATCCATCTTAGCTCCCCTCAACAGATCGCTCTGCCCCTGCAGCACAGACGCATGAATGTGATTCGGGTTTTGAACTGAAATGAACTTCAAGTG